GGTGCCAACTTGGGCCAGTGAAGCAACATCCTCCACAACTAGACTGAAGAACAAAAGGACAGCAACTTGTCTGTTCCCCTTCCCCCGATTCCCTAGCACTGTTCCCATCCCCCAATTCCCCAATTAAACAAAAAAATCTTTTAAAAAATTAATTAAAAAAATAAATAAATCCATGAGTCCATCATAATTTTTTAAAGTCTAATTAATCATCAAGGATGCTAGGAAACCAACTGTATTTTGAAAACTGGTAAATAAAAGGGAAAGAACAGAACACTTATCCTGACTTTCCTATAGAAACTGAACTACCGGTAACCAAATCATAGAAAGTGGCAAGTTCCCCTTGCCTTCACATACTCTTCCCTCTACTTTTAGAAGTATTTCAGCTATTGGGTCTTCAGAAAAGTCGTGACACATGTTTGCAGCAGATGGCACTAGTTCATTTTTGGAAGTACCAGAGTCATTCGCATCTATGTTATTGCTATGTCATTTGACAGCTGACAGTTCTAGCTTCATGCTAAAAAAAAAAAAATTGAGCCATTTGGTTGAGTTTTGGAGATTTTACAAATCGAAGATGGAAGACCAAACTGTGCATTTTTGCCATATTTTACTGTATTACTTCCATAAAGGGAAGAAAGTGTGTCAAGCTTGTGAAAAGCTGCATAAAGTTTACAGTGACGATGCTCTACAAGAACGTCAGTGCCAACAATGGTTCACAAAACTCCGTGCTGGTGATTTTGATCTCAATGACGATCCTCGGCCAGGGAGGCCCACCGAGGTTGATGACGACAAAATAAAGGCATTGATCAAGTCAAACCCACGTTACACGACACGAGCGATTGTATAAACATTCAACGTCCATCATTCAAGCGTTCACGACCACCTGAAGAAGCTGGGATACGTAAGCAAGCTCGTTATTTGGGTTCCGCATGAACTCAAAGAAGTTCATTTGATGGCACATATAAACATCTGCTATATGCTCATTAAACATGAGGAAACCAATCCTGTTTTGAAGCGACTGATAACTGGTGATGAGAAGTGGATTGTTTACAACAATGTGGTGTGCAAACGGTCTTGATCCCGACATGATGATTCGCCTCAAACGACATTGAAAGCAGACATTCATCAGAGGAAGGTTATGCTCTCAGTGTGGTGGGATTTTAAAGGTGTCATGTTTTTTGAGCTTCTACCAAGGAACCAAACAATTAATTTGAATGTGTACTGTTGGCAGTTGGACAGTTTGAATGAATCCATCATCCAGAAACGTCCAGAGCTTGTTAATTGTAAAGGAGTTGTGTTCTATCGCAACAACGCAGGACCACACACAAGTTTGATCACCCATCAAAAATTACTGGAGCTTGGGGCCGGCCGAGTGGCGCGATGGTTAAGAACTGGTTTGGGATGCCAGAGGGCCCCGGTTCGGATCCCACATATGAGGGCCAGTGACACTGCCCTCCACAGCTAAGATGCTGAACAACAGCTCAACCTGGAGCTGGGTTGCCGTGAGTCGCTGGCGACGGCGTAGGCTGCAGCCCCTGTGGCAGTGGGTTGCCATGGGCTACCGTGTGTAGCCAGCAGCCAGCGTGAGCGGCCAGCAGCCGCAGTGAGCGGCCGTCCAGAAGCCGGCGACTGATCTGCCTCTCCCGGAAAGAGCGCAATGATGGTGCCAACTTGGGCCAGTGAAGCGACGTCCTCCACAACTAGACTGAAGAACAAAACGACAGCAACTTGTCTGTTCCCCTTCCCCCAGTTCCCCAGCATTGTTCCCATCCCCCAATTCCCCAATAAAATCTTTTAAAAAAAAATTACTGGAGCTTGGATGGGATGTGTTGCCACACACCATACTCGCCTAACCTTGCGCCGTCAGACTTCCACTTGTTTCGCTCTCTTCAAAACTCCTTGCGTGGTATAACATTCAATTCAGGTGAGGCTATAAATCAGCACCTTGTTCACTTTTTCGCAAATAAAGACAGGTCTTTCTCTGAATGAGGAATTATGAAGCTCACTGAAAGATGGCACAAGATTTTTGAACAAAACGGGCAATATATCATTGATTGATCTTTGTTCTTTATATAAATAAATGGCATTTGAAAAACATAGACAACGTATGTCATGACTTTTCCAAAGACACAATATTCATGAAAAAGGACTAATAGGATGTAACCATTTTGCAATCCCTAAGGAATTAGTGAACTTAGGTGTTGAGCATCAATGGTTGCTAATATCACAGAGACAAGAAGAGGACATCGTGTGCCTCTTAACACTGAGGCAGCCGGCCTCCAGGATGACTCCGGTGATGCTTACTTCTTAGTAGGCAAATCCTGTGTCATCCTCTCCAACAGTGAGTAAGGCTGTGTAACTGATGAAATATTGCACGATGATCATGTATGACTTCCAAGGTAGTTCATAAAAGGTATTGTGGGGCCAGCCGAGCAGCTCAGTTGGTTAAGAGTGTGAGTTTTGAGCAACAGGGTCGCCAGTTCGATTCCCACATGGGCCAGCGAGCTGCGCCCGAGCCGAGCTGCCGCTTAGCTGCCAACAGGTGGCAGGATGGCTCAGCTGGTGAGAGCACATGCTCCTAACAACAAGGTTGCTGGTTCCACTCCTGCATGGGATGGTGGGCTACGCCCACCCACAACTAAGACTGAACACGGCACCTTGAGGAGTGGCTGTGGGCGGCCGGATGGCGACTGGACTTGGAGCTGAGCTAGCTGTGCCCGAAGATTGAAGGACAACAACTTGGTTGTCCCCCTTCCCCAATTCCCCAACACTGTTCCCCCTCCCCAATTCTCCAATAAAATCTTAGAAAAATAAATAAAAAAGGTATTGTGGCTTCCATCTTGCTCTCCTGGGTCGATTGCTCCAGGGGAAGCAAATAGCCCTAAAGAGAGATCCATGTGGTGAGAAATTGAGACCTCCTGCCAGAAAGCCAGCACCAATTTGTCAGTCATGTGGGAGCCATCTAGGAAGCAGTTCCTTCCGCCCAAGTTCAGCCTTCAGATGACAGCAGCACCAGCTCTCTCAACTGCAACCTCAGGAGACACCTGAGTCAGGACCATTCAGCTAAGTCACTCTCAAATACCTGACCAACAGACACTGTGCAATATTATACATGTTTGTTGTTGTTTTAGACCTTTTAAGTTTTAGGGGCAACTGGTTATACAGTATATAATCAAACAGCATAATCCATGAGTTAGTCTTGTCCAAAATAATCAAACCTCAATCTGATGAAGTCCCAAGTCCAACTCTCAATTTGTAGGAAATATGGAAGACAAAGAAACAGGGATACAATCAGAAAATCTAGACCATGAAAACACATAGAGGATGAACAAATCAGTTTCTTCAACACATAATTTGCAAGAAGGAAAAAAAGTGAAAAATGAAGGAGGGGGTCCATAATTTTAAGTCTTAAGACATTTCACAAATTGGTGTGACTAGGGTGTGAACTTTACTTAGATCTTAACCCCCCAAAATGTGGGGGGAAATTATAAAACAGTTGAATATTTGAACAAAATATCAACAGAATACTTGATAACACTGGGGGGGAGGCGGTTTAGTTATTATAATGGTAAGTAGTTAATGTCTTATTTAAGTCCTTACTTTGTAGTTATGAAATTAAATATTTAAGAAAGAAATGTTATGATATCTGAGATTTGCTTCCAAATAAAAGTAGAGGGCAAGTGGTTGGGGTCTAGATGAAATAATATTGACCACAAACTGGTTATGTTAGCTCATTGTACTCTTACCCTTTGAATGTTTGGAATTCTCAATGAAAAGCAACAATGAAAGTACAAGTGCTTGAAAAAAATCAGAATGCAATTTTAACAATTGTTTCCTAGCTAAGGCTTTCATTCGTATCTAATGGCCATTTTGTTACTTTTGCTTCCAAAGCTGAAGTCTTTCAGTATAATAAATTCTACATTGAGGAAAAGGGTTATTTTATTGTCTAAGGGCGTATTCTCTGCTGTAACCCAGATGTCGGCCAGGGTCACCCTGCCTTTTGAGACTCAGAAGTGACTCAATGTCTGTCCCATACACAGCGCGAGATTCATCACCGTTCCGATCTTTTCAACATCACTCTGCCTGGGGTGAGGGTAGAGAAGCGGCATGGACAGATGTGCCTGCATGTCTCTCCTTACTTTGACCTGAGTTGTTCCTGTTGACTTATTTTGGTGATGAGTCCTCATGTTATTGATATATCGATATATGCATATTATCTTATGCATGCTGATTCTTTTCTGCATCTTGGTCTCACTCCACCATGCCCGAGAAGTCCTTTTTCTCACTTTGTCTTTTAAGTCTTATTTCTTCTCCCTTAAACAACCAAGTTGTCTTCTGAAGAATTATTCTGATACTAATTAAAAACAGGTTTTTCACTCCGTTACACAGGCAACAAAAAGGTCACACGGACACAGGACATTTAAAAAGAGGTATAATGTACTCAAAACAAGTTATAAGGAACAGGAAGGACCCTTAGAAGAAAACTTTAAAATGTTAACAATGCTGTGTGTTTTTAGGAGTGAAATTAGGAGTGATTTTTTTCTTGCTTCTACTTTCAAATATTTGATAATCAGCAATTTGATGGCATAATTTTCTATAGAAAGATATAAATCACATTCACTGCTAAGACAGCAACAGACAGAGATAGATAGATAGATAAATAGATAGATAGATATTTTCTAGGTAACATAGGACAGAGAAAGGCAGGCAAAGGCCCAATTGGAGACGGAGATGGTACGAGCCTGCTCATCTTTCTACGACCTGGAGACGGCCCTCTGCCAGGCAAGTTCGCTGATGCAAGAGAAGGCGGGCTCTAGGTCTCACAGAACTTTCCTACATCGCCTCCTATAAGCTTTTAACAGCTTGACTTGAATGATCCTTCCCTATGAACTAGTGATGCCCTTATTGTTTCCCCACCAAGCTTCCTTACACACAGGCGAGCTGTAAAAATTAGATTTACCACCGTGGCAGGTGAAAAAAGATATTAGGCAGCTCCATACAGACTGTTTCCCTAACTGTGACTCTGGCAACTAGCATAGTATCTATACTAGTTGGTACTAGCTAGTTGGCACACGCTACATGCTGAATAAGTATCTACTGATCTAAACAGCGTGGTTTGAGGTCTTTTGCTCCTGGCTGAAAATCCTTCACAGGAACCAACTTCCATTTTACAATTACAGGTAAAAATCTTAAAATGCCAATACTTGATAACGTTAGCAAAGAGATTGCTTTTTTAGAAAAGGTACTGTCCGCCTATTTAGTACATGTGATTTTCCTGATGAGTGCACCAAGTGGGACTCTACATGATGACAAATGGGACCATAGAACACTACTTAAGTCACCATTTTCCCATCGCTAACCACACTCGACTACAACCCTGCCAGAAAACCTAGGCAACCACCTTCAGCCACCTGAGTTCAGAACCAAAAAAAAAAAAAGCAGATTAACAGTTTTTCATAATTTATGAATTTTTAAAACTAGAGTTTTTAATGTGAGAAAGGTAGTATCTATACACTTAGAAAAATACAAATACAAAGGAAAAATACTTCCCATTTGCTTCTGACACCTGATCCCCAGCAGAGAGTCAACTACACTTATTAATTTTCCATGCATAGGCCAGCAAGTACATGAGTTTTCACACCGTTTTTAAAACACAAATGGTGCAATATTACATGTTTTGTTTTTCAAACATAGTTATTTTATTGTATAGGAACATAATTCTCTGAATAGGAACATAATTCTCTAAAAATTAATTCCAAGTTCTGTTTGCTACAGTTTCAAATTATTTTTAACAATCAGTCACTAACAGAAAATAAAAATAAAGGAGATCTTATTATTATACATCAGAATATAAATCACATTTAAGCACCAACATAAAAACAAAAAATTCATTTCTCATCTTTAACCTGTTTCTTGTCACTGGTTTCTTCCATCTCGAAAGTGAACGGTTTGTCGTAACCCATTAGATGGTCATAGTCTTCAGGGTTTGGAAAGAGACCTGGATTAACTAACAATGATTTCGTTTTAGCATAAAATGTGGTAAACACGTGTGTGCTGTTTGGAATCTTCACATCATTCTGGTGAAACACTGTGCTCGTCTCTGAAAGCACCACATTGTAAGTAATGGCCTTATAAGTGTCTGTTGTGGCCTCATGGTACAACCGAATGACATAGCCTTTTGTAATAAAGTGGAGCAGTGCTGGAGTGATCAATGTAAAGCATCCTATGACGCCGTAAAATAAGATCTGTAAAGGCAGACTTCCAAATATGATATTATTTTGTGCAAAAATGTATGGCAGAAATGCAAGGCTGATCAAACTTGTTGAATAAGAGAAACATTTCACACCTAAATAGGAAAACAAAATGGGAGAGGATTAATACTCTTACATTTTATACAAGAATCATCCTATCCAATTAATTCTTCCACCTTTCTTCTTACTTTATCATCATCAAAACAAGAAAATCAAAACACATATAAAGTGTTACAGCATTCCAGGCTGTTTCAAACACTTCACATATTTTATTCATGAAAACTACAGAAAGCCCTATGACATACTGGGTTGTTGGAAAAGTCATGACGAATTTTTGCAATGAAAAACACAGAAAAAATACGTCGTGACTTTTCCGACAACCCAATAGATGCTAATTATTATGAGGTAATTTACGAGATGAGAAAAATGAGGGACTTGCTCGATGTCACAAAGCTCTCCAGTGACAGTGCTGGGATTCAGGCAATCTGACTCCAGAGTCCAAGCCGTTGGCCACTGCACTGCATGCACCAACTCTCCAAATGAAAAACCCACTTTAGGGTTCCCGGGCCTCTACCCACCTCAGTTCCCTAATAACAGATGTAATATTACTCAACGGTCCTTATGAACCCTTACAAAAACTAATTCAGGCAGTTTAATTCAAATAAAATTCTATTAACAAGCACTTCTACCTATCTAACATAAAATCTTCAAATATGGAGCTAACTTGATCAAGCTAAGTGCCCAAGATTAAAACAACAAAACACCAAAAAAATAACACCAGTAGTTAAGAAATATATGGGAAAGGTATTCAACTTCTTTACCAAGGAAAGACATTCAACTTAAAACAATAAGATATTTTTACCTATCATATTAGAAAGATTAAAAGTCAATGACTTCTGAACTGTATACTTAAAAATGGTTAAAATGGTAAAGTTTATGTTAAGTACATTTTACCACAATAAGTAAATAAATGACTTTAAATGTAAATTTCTCTTAGTTTGAATGTATAATTTTAATACGATCCCAATACAAATACCATCTGTTTGGAAAATAGACAATTTGAGATCTTAGACAAGTTGATTATAAAGTTAATTTGGAAAAACTAAAGAAGCAAAAATAAAAAGTAGGGGGGTGTTAGATACTAAGACATCAGACTCTATAATTAAAATAGTGTGGTACTGGGGCACAAATAAACAGGCAGATCATGGAACAAAATGGAAAATCTAGAAATAAACCTAACTCTATATGAAAATTTAGTATAGAATAAAGATATTATCTAAATAAGTGGACCACGTTGTGTTGGGACAACTAGATGGCCATGCAGAAAAAGTTAAATTTAATCCATCCCTCATACCATAGGCCAGGAAAATGCCAAGTAATCCAGAGATTTAAATGTAAAAGATAAAATCATAGAAATATAAGAAGAAAACAGCCGTGAAGTCCTTTATAACCTGAGATAGGAGAGCTTTTCTAATTATGACTCAAAACACTGAAGCAATCAGGGGGAAAGACTGATAAATCTAATTACATTAAAATGTACATAAACATGAGCACCATAAAAGAAAGTGAAGACAGAAATGAGAAAAATATTTGCAACTTATATCACAAAGGGTGAATAGCAGCAATATATAAAAGGTTTCTAGTATACGAGGAAAAAAAACACAACCCTATACACAAACATCCATGAACTATAAGCAGACAGTTCACTGAAATAAAAATGCACGAGGTCCTTCAACAGATGAAATGATGCTAAACCTCCATCATATGAAACACAATACATACAAAGCAGAGTGAGATACTGGTTTTCCCCAAATTGGCAAAACACAAGTTTGCCAGCATACTCTGCTGGTGAGGCTGTAACAAAGCAGACACTCACACATTGCTGTTGGTTGAAGGCTGTTATCTTGCATCAGTAATTTAAAAATAATTCCTTCCTTCCTCCCACTGGTAGTTGCTATGACACTGGTACACAGGGCATACAATGGAGACCAAGTTGCCTCCTATATAAAAGCCTCCTCAGTCCTTTCCAGCTACCTTTTCCCCCATTACTTCTGTCATATTGTAGTGGGTTGTAGAACGTCCCCCAAATATTCATGTCCACCCAGACCTCAGAATGTGAACTTATTTGGAAATAGGGTCTGTGCAGGCAATTAAAAATTGAGATGAGATCACACTGGATTAGGGTGAGTCCTGAATTCAATGACAGTGTCCTTATAAGGACAGAACAGGACAGAGACAGAAGGCCTGTGAAGCAGTTATGCAGCTACAAGCCAAGGAGCACAAAGAAGCTGGAAGAATTCTTCCCTGGAGCCTTCAGACAGCATGGCCCTACCAACATCTGGATTTCAGACCTGTAACCTTCAGAACTGGGAGAATAAACTTCTGTTGCTTTAAGCCACCAAGTTTGTGGAAATTTATTATGAGAAGCCTAGGAAACTAATACACACATACACTTTATGTTGCCTGGATTGAAGTAATCACTATTTTTTTTTTATTGTGAAATAAACATTTGTTTTAAATTAGTTTCAGCTGTACAACACAGTGCACTAGTTATACTTTTTACCCAAGTGACAACTCCCGTCCCCCAATCAGCGGCCCCACTCCCCCCCCATATCATACATATCTATTACAATTCCCTTGACTCCACTCTCACACTATATACTCCACATCCCGTGTCTCTCTCTCTCTCTCTCTCTCTCTCTCTATGTATATATATATTCACTTATAGTTGACATACAATATTACACAACATCAGCTTCAGGTGTACAGTGCAGTGATCAAGCCTCTACCCCATCCATGATGTGGTCTCCCTAGCAAGACATGTAACCATCTGACACCCTACAAAATATTTACAACATTATTAATTATATTCCTCGAACTGTCTTTCATGTCCCTGTGGCAATGCTGTAGTTACGTATTTATGCTGTCTAATCCCTTCCCCTTCTCCCTCATCCCCACCCCCTTCCAACTAGCAACCATCAGTTGTTCCTCTGTATCTCTGAGACTATCTGTTTACGTTGCTTGTTTATTCAGTTCTTTAGATTCCACATATAAGTGAAATCATATGGTATTTGTCTTTCTCTGACTGACTTATTTCACTTAGCATGATGTTCTCTAGATCCATCCATATCGTTGCAAATGGTACGATTTCCTTCTTCTTTATAGCTGAGTAATACTCCATTGTGTAAATGTACCATAGTTTCTTAATCCAGTCGTGTACCGATGGGCATTTCGGTTGTTTCCAAGTCTTGGCTATTGAGTAATCACTATTTTTAAAACATATTTTAGGCTTTCCCATCTTTCTGGCTTTGCTCATACTACTTCCGTGCCTGGGATGCCCTTCTTGCACATCTCTTCATGTTCAGCTTCTACTCATCTTAAAATGAGAAAACTATGACATCAGCAATTATGTGTTGCTGAATTAACAAGAACTGCCAACTAAAAGGCCCTTCAAATGTCTTTAAACCAGGACCCATTTGGTTTTTAAAGAACGTCCAGGAAAGGTACCTCTGTATCTTACTGTCTTTCACTCGGTTTTACATAGAAAAAATGTTTCTCCTGCAGTTTCTACATAGAAAAAATATTAATCCCTGATAAGTATACAAGGTGACTTTCTCTTATAATATTGAAGGAAATCAAGCATTAAATTCCTCTACAAGTTACAATTCTTGAACCTTGACTATCATGGACAGCTATGTCCCTCCACAAATATTACATCCTACCGACACCAAAACCAATTCGTATTTATATTCTCTCCTTTCCAGAATGTTGTCAAGTGGGAACATGAAATAATTGATAAGCGTTCCCTGCATTTGAAGGAACAGTATGTGTTCAAAAGGAAGGTACCATGGGAGTCACTGTTAACACATCTTGATGGTATCAATCCAGGTAGCCCAGGCCAGAGATGGGACACAGGCTGAATGGCCTACTGCACTGACTTCTGAAGAAATTTCTAACCACCCAGAACTGATTACTCCAGTAACTTCAGAACTCTACTCAAAGTGATTATAATCAGTCCTTATTCTTAAAAAGTTTTAAATAGCTAAAATTGTACTTTAAACATACTCGATTTCAATGTCACACACTTGAGAACTTACAGATTTTCAGAGTAAATTTTAGATGATCGATAGATACTAATATAATGAAAAACAGAAATGCAAATATGGGTGCTGAAATCTTGTGGCCAACTTGGCTATAAAGTAATCCTCCATATATTTCATGTCATATATTGTTTTAAAGATTATTATAATGAAATACATCCCTACGAACTTACACAAATCACATAAGTAAGTTTTTCTGACCCTTCCCTGCAAAATTGTTCCATACTAAGTCCTAAATTGTGACTTAAGGAAAGAACTTGAAACTTGTAGCTATCCAGTACACTCTTTTCCTTCTCCATAACCAGGAAAAGCCACTAAATAAACACATTTGTTGAAAATTCTAAGATGACCTGAAAAATAAAAACTTAATATATTTTTGAATTATGAAAATATTACATGCTCATTTTAATTGCCAAATTTAACAATATATGAAGTAAATGTCTATTTCCTCAAAATAACTTCTAAGAGGTATTCTTCCATATTTTTCTCTGTATATTCAATCATTACTCAAATATACTCCTTCTGTTGTTTTATTTTGGTGTTAAACATCCCAAGAAGTGACCAAGGGGAGAAAGCTTTAATACCAAGCCATAAAAATCACAAAGTCATAAGTCTTCAAAAATCTTTAAATCTAAAAACGCAAAGGTCTCAACCTCTAAATCTTTTATCAACAGGAAGGACACAAGAAAAAAATTATCTAATTTTTCCTTGTCTTGTAATTAAGAGGTGCTAAAATAATACGTAACATAAGCCAAGAACATAGTTTACAATTAAAAGGGAAAGCAAGGAAATACCCTATTTCTGAATACCCACCAAATACTGTCCGGGCCAGATTCCCAGTATAAATCAGCCTTCCATCTTCTGATTTTTCAACTTGTGTACGTAAGCATCGAACACATCCTTCCCAACAAACAGGTATCTATTGAAACAGAGACCATTATAAAGTACATCATAAACTGCACTTTAAACGAACTTTTAAATTAAAAAGAAATTTTTTTAAGACAATGAAAAGAGAACTTGTCACACGAGGTCATTTAAGGGATTCTCCCAAATAATCTAGAACTAAAAAAAAAACAAAAAAGAAAACCCCACACTGGCTAATAAAATGACTCTCCTTAATTTCAGTCACAAGCAGACACTGCCAAGTTGCAGTTTGAAGGCCTATGTTTGCATCCCAGCTCCAAGCTCTTTAGATAATAAAAGTGGGACCTTGTACATGTAAAGAGTTTAGTGGGATAGGTTTCTTTTATTCCACTCTTAATGAGAACATTGCTTTCATCTGATTGTCCAAGATTTAAATGCATTCGCTTTTTAAAAAATTAATTTTAATACAATAATGTAAGTAAACACTGCAAATTTAGATTGTTTAAAATCCAGACCGTTTTTTGCATTTCTAAAATACTTATCCTATAGCTAGTATAAAAATTAAATTAAAAAAAAAGTCACTCTTTCTTTAAAGACCTTGTATCCATCCCTGTGCATCCCTTATTCCTCTTAAAAATATTTTAGTTGAAATCCTAGATCAAATTTCACAGGAACAAGAGAGTCCCCTGAACGTCTGAAAGTGAATTTCACAGCACACACTTCAAAAGCCAAAAGGCGTAACTAATTCCTTTATGCTGAAATTCAATTAGACGCCAATTCCTACATTAGGCACTTCTCTCAAATTTCAACTGTTTGCTAATCCTGATACTGTAGAGGGCAAGATTAGGAGACTATTTATTTAGATTAAAATGAGAGGATTAACGTCTCCATTCCCTTTTTTCCAGGGGCAAAGGAACTCCTAAAAAGAGAATCAATTCAAAGCGAGGTTATCCAAGGTCTTTCCGTTCGGTCTCCAGGTGGTGCATCTACTTTGGAGGCCGAGGCCTGCTGCTCCTGCGAGGCTGGCAGAGGCCTCTTTCCGCACTAGAGCCACCCGGAGGCGCCGGGAAAATCTGTCGGAGAGCGGGACTCCCCGGGCCGGTCGCATGTCCCCACCGCCACCCTTTCTCGGATCCGCAAGGCCACCGACTGCCGACCTGCGTTCGCACGAGACGCGGGAGAAGCGGCGCGGCTCCCCGGAGTCCCGCGCTCCCGCCGCCGACTGGCCCCGAAGAGCCGCTGCAGAAGGTCGCCGGCGAGACAGCCGCCCTGGCGCCCCGGAGCGCGGTGACCGCCCACGGCACCGCCCTCTTCCCGCCGAGCCGCAGTCCGGCCGCCCACCGGCCGCCAGCAGCCAGAAGCAGCATCCCACGCGTGAGGCACGGCGGTGGACAGCGCTGCAGGACCCCGGCCTGGACTAGCCCCCGCACGCCCCGCCCCCTAGAAGCCCGCCGGGCCCGATTGGTCGCTGCACGTACGCGGAATAAGTGGCCCGCCTGCAACCTGCCTCGCCACGTGCGTGTTCCCAGCGGGCGGAGCTCTGAACTGGGTACACCGACCCCCTGATCCCGAAATCCGCAAACACCTTGCCCGCGGCTTGCACGTCCCGAAGTTTGGCGGTCTGCCTGACAGTGTGCAAGGACGGAGGGCAGGGCCATACGCGAAGAACAAAGCTTGGAAGCCAGGGTTAAATCTATCATTGTCGTGGTCATTTTCTAGGCCCCCAAAAGTATTTACTTTGCGGGAAATGATTCTAGCCTATTGGCACAGAGGAATCATACTTCATACGATTTGAACAACAATGAATGGTAATGCAACCATTGAGTTGATAGAAAAGAAATGGAACTCATTCATATAATGTTGATACTTGTTAAATTTGTCTTGGGTAATCATTCACATCCATGTACGCACTTGTTCACTACTTGTTAAAGTGGTATTAAGTTTACTGCCAGGACTGACTTAGGAGCAGAGGATACAAAGATACTGCATAAAAGTGGGAATCCACAGTGCTCACAGTGGAGGAAACACCTAAAACTAAGCTTAAATATAATGCTGCAGTGTAATTGAAACATACCAATTTACAAAATGCTACAGAAGCCCAAAAGAGCGTGATTATTTGGCGTCAATGTCTAAAGGCTTCAGATTCAACTGAGTTTTAAAGGATGTGCATCCAACTAGTAGGGACGCACTTTTGTTTACTACTGGAGAACTGTGATTTTGACTCCACATGTTATTTGCATAGGAGAGGAACAAACTAACGATCTAAAATAGTATCACCTTGACAACTCCAAATCCTGTCTATTTTTCCCTGGGTATCCAGGATAAAATTATGCCACTTCTTTATAAAAAACATCATAGTCTGAAAGTTATCTTCCATTTACATTTTTAAAACTCTTTGTAATTCAAGCTACGACATCAATTATCCATGATTTTAATGATACATATTGAAATTTTTCTGTTCATATAGTGTTTTTCTTTAATATGGTTAAAAAGATAAATTAAGACATACCAAAAAAATGAGTTTATTTGATAAAAAATGTATTCAAATCAGGCAGCACAGCGGCAAACTGAAAGTAGTGAGGAGGGATCAACTAACAGGAGCTAGGGGCAAGGTTTTTATAAAGATGCACAGGCAACACAAGGAAATTATTTGATTGGCTGTAACTGAATCGGGGGCATTATTTGGCAAAACCTAGTTGGCTGTTTGTAATTGGTTGTTCTTCTTACCCTTGATGCACTCACAGGAATTGACTCTGAGGTTTTGGGTTGCTTACTAGACTACCAAGTATCTCAGCCTAATGGCCTTCTCAGTCTTCCAGCCTTCTCATTTGATGACTTCAACAGTGATGTTTCGGGTTTAATTTGTTCTAGGACCCACTTGTCATCTTTCTGGCAGTCCAGGGTATCTATTGAGCTCTCCTCCGACCCAGTATTTCAAGTGAATCCATTTTTTTCCTATCAGCCTTCTTCACATCTGTACATAGTAACTGGAAATATGAGGGTGTGGATGATCTTGGCCTTGGTCTCTAAATGACACATCTTTGTTCTTGGTGACCTTTCCTAATTCTTCCATTGCTGTCCTGAGTCAGCCTTTTCTTGATTTCTTGGCTGTAGTCTCCACTTGAATTGATTACTGAATGAAGGTAAACAAAATCTTTAACAATTTCAGTATCTTCACTGCCTATGTTTAAGTTGCGTATTTCTTCTGTAGTCATGATTTGTGTCTTCTTGATGTTCAAATGCAGTTTGAACATTTTCTCCTTGCACTTTCATCAGAAGTCATTTCAAATCATTGCTATGTTTTGCCAAGTGTCACCTGCATATCTTAAGTTACTTCTTTTTTTACTTCTCCTTCCTGAGTCTAGCCCAGTTTTTGGTATATGTTATGTATACAGCTTAAACAAATAGGGAGATAAAATGCACCTTTGTCTATAGGAAACCATTCTGTCTCTCCTTATTCTGTCCTGACAGTGGCTTCCTGTGCAGAATACAGGCTACACATTGAGTCAATCAAGTGCGTGACCTATGTAAAAGTGCATGGAAAAAACAAACTTACCTGGAGTTTTTGCATTTTTTATAGTTAGCATGTATTATATTGATTACATAAATAAATAAAAATTTAAAATAAAGTTAAATTTTGCACACACACAAAAAAGTCCTAGACTAGATGCTAGTCCTAAATTAGGTAGCCTCAGTATCCTCACCTGGAAAATTCTATCGTTCTCTAGGCAACTGTCACCCTTTAGAGGGTGATAATGCAACAAGGAAAAAAGGGCAAGATATAAGGAGAGCAAAGGACACTTCAGAAGTAAAGGAGGAAAGGTATGACTGAAAATGGGCCTACAGCTTCCTCTTACCCCACTGCCTCTCCTCCCCACCAAACTCTTGAGTACCATTACAACCAAAAAAGCGTGTTTAACAATTTTTGCACAGGCTTTTGATAAGTTAACCCAGGACAGTCTGTCTGTAAAAAGCAATACCTTTTATCTGCCAAATCAACTAAAAATGTCTCTCAGGCAGAAGTCACTAATTAGGTCAACAAGCTCTGGCTCTGTTTCCCTTTCTGGACACTGTTACACAACAGTGCCTAGTTGAGCAACTTGCGATGGTGAGCTTCTTGGCCCTACATTCTCTCCGTGCTGCAGTCCTGTAAACAGGGTGAACTTTATTTAGCTGTTTCAGCTTTCCTGGAAAGGTGCCTGAATTTAACCACAAGAAAGCAAGTAAAAAGGATAGGCAGATCAAGAGAGAGCAAATGAGAGAAAAAAAGAGGCAGAGGCAGAGAGACAAAGAGAAAGGGAGCAGGGTCTGAAGGGGTATGGAGTGACGAAGATGGTCTCAGAATTGAGGATTGGTGGCAGATGCCTGGAATTTCTGTGAATGCTCGCAGAATCTAGAAATGCTGAGTAAACCCGGGGCAGGAAGGAAGCTGGAGAGGTGGGGGAAAGGCCCCAGGGTGGGGTTGGAGGCCTGGTTCGTTTTCAGTAAACACTGCACAGTACCGGGAAGAGAGGAAATGAGGCCAGCCGATTGCGCGAGCAGTCGCGATGCTCTTCGACACGCACTGCAGCTTTTCACAAAGGACAGATGCTGCTTCACGCTCTTGTTAGCATAGAAACCGCACTCCTACTTTTCAATCTTTCCTCTGCAGACAGTCTCCAGGAGAACTTCCAGGAGAACCCTCAAAGGAGGGGTAGAGACGACCTCTAAAATTACCAAAAATCTTAACACCCGGCGTGAGAAACTACAAGTCCCAGCATGCAGTGCGGCCTTGGACCCACCCCCAGCACCTCTTTCAGGATGCTGTCCCGGGGGAAACTGGATCAGGGTCGGCGTTGCATGCTGGGAATCCGAAGACCTAGTATCGGATTGGCTGAGCTCTGTCAGCGATCGTTGTTTCCGCGCGCTGGCCTGTGGCACCGTGATCCCGGGAGGAGGGAAGGGGAGCAGCGCATTTCCTGTGGACGGAAGTGGGCGTCCAACCTCCACCAGGTACCAATCTCCCGCGCGTCGCGGAAAAGCGTCCGTGACCCGGCGGAAGTGATTCCTCCGGTTGCCCCGGAACCTACGGCGGCAGTTATCTGGGGGTGGGGGGGGCGGCCCTGGAGTCGGGACTGTGGCGGTGCGCGGGGACCCGGAGCAGTGGCTGCGGTGGCTGCGGGGCGGACGAGTGAGTCTCGGGCTGGAGTGGGGACGGAGCTCCGGGTCTGCGTGGAGGACGAGGGAGGCTCGTAGTGGGCGCGCTCGCTGCCCAACTGCCCACCCCTTCCCATTTGGGCGGGGAAGGAACGGAAGCGCTCTGCCTGCCCGGGCCTCCTCAGCCCCTGGCTTGGGGGAGGGGAGAAGAGGGCGGCGGGATCTTAACTGGCTCCGTTCGGTGGGCTCGCCAACGGACGGAAGGAGGGGCGGCGGCGGCGGTTGGGGAGACTGGGCCTTCTGTGGGCTGAGCGCGGGGCGGGTGGAGTTCGGAGTATGGCAGCCCTGTCGCTTTGCGTGTTTGCTGTCCCCCGTGTGCACCGAGATTCACCCTTTGCTTGGAGGCAGCCCCTCGTCATGGGAGCGGGCCCGTGCCCTTTCCAGCTGCGCGACCCCGGGAAGTCCACCCTCTGGGCCAACTTACTGGGCGATGATCTCCGCCCGTCGTGGTGGTTCGGGGTTGCTGTGCATCTACCGCCCAGCCTTGTCTGATAGGAGGGATCTGACTGTCAAAGGACAGTGGCCATTGAGTTTCTCTTAGGGAATTATAAAACCTCTTCAGTGACATATAGCCGTGCAGGTCGTGTCATTAGTGAGAGGATGTCTACTCAGCAATCGCCTTCAGTGTAGAAAACTGAAATCCTTCAGAGTTTTAAAACCTCATTTTTAAGCTGCCAGGTTTGCTTTTTGTTCCCCAAATTGTTGTCTCCTTTTCTGCTTATTGGACTAAAATGATAAATCGCTGGTCTCGTGTACGTTATAATTCATGATGCTGAATCACCACAGTTTACCCGTGGATTCATTCATACTGGAGATACAATAGCAATGAAATAGCCATGGCCCCAGTCATCGTGGATATTTATTTTTATTGCCAGTGATTTTGGGGGTCATACTTAATTTTTAAATGAATATCCTTTTTTTTTCTAACCCCGGGAAGTTTACCCGGGGTTATGAGGTTTATCTAATTATCTTTCCTATATATTGTAGAAATTTATTTCAATTGGAGGATGCCGATTTCATTACCTTATTGTAATTTTTAATATAATTAAAGAATAGTTTGTAGTTGGAAGTTATAGTCAGCCTGATATGTCAAGTCCTAAAGTAATATTAGTTTATGTTTTATAAAAATGCTTGTTTGGGGTTTTTTGGCAGGTTTTTCAGTACTAGAAAATAATCTGGAAAATCTTTGCAGTTACACTGATAGGTGTTAATGCATTTTAGTTAACCTGTTCTAAATGTTTACCGTTCATAAGATCCGAAAAAGCCCATCCAGTGATACTTGAAATTTCAAGCCTAGGTGATTAAGAAAACAATAGTATCATTCTTGAAAGAAATGTTTATTGAGCACCTGCTGTCTACTAGGTCTGCCCTCATGAGGAAAGAGAATATACAATAAGTAAGCAAATACAGTTTCAAGTGGTGAAAATATGAAAGACAATATAGCAAGATTAATATTAGATTAAGTTTGAGTCACTAGGGTGGAGGTGTCTAAATTTGATAGGGAAATAATCAAAGAAGACCTACCTTTGAGGAGTTGCTGTTTTGCCTCAAGACCTACATAATGAGGAAAATGTGAGGGAAGAAATTAAAGATAGCAGGAACTACAAATGTGAGGGAGAAATGAACTTGACCTATTATAATACTAAGAAGGCCACTGTGGCTGGTGTGTAGTGAAGACTGATGGGAGATGAAGTCAGAGTGATTAACAAGGACTAAATAAGATGGAACTTGATAGTCATTTTTCTGTCTGTAATGAGGGGCCATTAGAGGATTTTGTGCAGGGGAGCGACATCTGATTTATGCTTTTTGATAACTATTATACAGCTGAGAGTATGTGCAGTAGCCAGGCTGTATGTCCATGACTGTTTCTCAGGGGACATGTCCGGCTAGGGAGGTAACCCTAGCCGGTTTTGCAGGTGGTGTTTAAACCTGTGGACATCAAGTAGAGAGTGTTAATGGAGAAGAGGGCAGATGACTGGGAGCACTCTGGGTAGAAGAGGAGCACACGGTGATGGGAGCAGAAAACAGGGTGTAGCATCTTAATACAAGGGAAGAAAATGTTCCAGGAAGGAGAGAGTAGTCAACTATAAAACCTTGTTATGAGTAAGGCGAGGATTAAAATTGATCAGGTAACCAGGTAAAGTATTTGAAATTTGATAAGAGCCCTTTGAACGGGCCAAAAGTCTGAATGGCGTGGATTAAGAAGGGATGGTTGTGGTGGTGTTACAGCACTTGGATGTGTTGATGGGAATAAGGGCGGGACAAAATCCTTGGATAGGCGTGCTTACGCGGAAAGGTTGGCCTGGGATAGAATGGTTTCTATTCAGCTTTTAAAACAGGAGGATGGACAGACGACTCGTATATGGCATACACGTGCAGGTAAGATGAAGTAGGAAACACAAGGCAATTGAAGTGATTTGTTTCTATTTTCTTGATGAAATAAGTGACGTTGTCAAGGCAGGGAGGAAAGGGGTGTTGAGAAGAAGCTGTGGATTTTCTCAGAAAAGCCAGTCTACGAGGAGGACCCCTACAATGCCAAGGGTCCACGTAAAGTGCGTGGACATACAGTTTAAGTTAAGGCCAGTCGAAATGGCTGAGCCTTTTCTCCAGCCACATTCACCTGTTCGGCGGAGGCCTGCACTGGGCAGGGTTGGGATTTGGGTGGGTAGGTACATGAGAAGAGAGGGCAGTGAGTTAGGGATATGAGGACGAGGCGAGCACGCTGCCCGTCCCGATGAACTCTGAGCAGTGGGATGAAGTCAGGTCAGAACTTATTTTATCGTTGTTTTCATATTTATTTTTAGCCCATCATTCTAAAGAGTCTTTTAAATTATTGTATAATTATAGAACCTATAGTTAAGTACTCACTATATAGTGGGAGTATTTGCTTATACTTTTTAAACCAAAACTAAGGCGTTTGGAGATCATTGCCTAAGAGGGAGATTAAGTTACAGGGGTGCCACAGACAGCCTCAGCGGGAGCACACAGTACCCTGGAGCGCTTAAGTTCTGTGCTATGTGAGAGAGAAAGATGGGAAATTGGCAGTTACAGGGATCCATTGTAGAGGACGGATGAATTTCAGGAGGGTTCGCTCAGGAAATGGTAGCGCTGAAAGGGACTTTTCGACACAGTTTAGTCCAATTTCCTCATTTGGGAGGTGAAACAGGAGTCTTACCTGGGTGTCAAGATAGAAATGCAGAGATGACTGAATTCTAGGAAACATGAAATTCCAGAAATCGTGTGTAGGAATACATGTTTCATACACTTGCATTGTAATTAACAATTCATGGCAGTGGATACAAGATTGTGAGGCTGATGTTTATGTTGTAATTTCATAAAATGTGGCTATGCCCTGAAAGTCTTGAAAATAAAACTGTTTGAAGAATTAGAATTCATATTGATTAAATTCTGTTGTGAAAGATGGAATGACATCTCCTTCCTTAGTCCCTCCCTCTCCTTTAATATAGCCCAAAATAGTTCAATAAACTTAAATAGATGTTTCCTAGAACAAACAGTTTACATTGTGGTTGTCTAAAAGTTCTAAGTTTGTTACATGCCAACACCAAGGAAAAACATGAATAGCATCAATCTTGGTCAGAAGCATCGTGCCATTGAACAACTGTGTTTCCTCAGGAGCATACTGTCTGTGGCATGTACTTCACTGTGTGAGGCTTCCCTTCGTGCTGGATGCGTGGGTCATAGAGAACCTCCCTGCCTTGTGGAAACTTACAGCTAGTTAGGGTGACAGGGAGATCTAAAATGACGGCAGGCAGCTGGGAAGCATTGGTATCCGATAGTGAAGAAAACTATGAATTCCGCAATGAAGGGAATGATAGGGAAGGGTACACTGTTGGCTGAAAATATTAAGACTGTACGAAGAGTTAAGTATAGGCGCACTGTTATAAATTGAAAAGGCCAGAATGAGAATTTTAGCTCATCCTGAGGGACATGAATGAATTCAGGGACACTATAAGCACATTCTAGGCTGGCTATTTAGATGTCTTATTACAAATTGGAATTGTGTCCTGACTTCTCTCAATTTGTATTACATAGCCAAAGCCTCTTCAAATAGGCCTGAACGTTAGATGATGTTTGGTTAATGTAATTTACTTGGTTTTCCAAATTAATTGTATTCTTACATATAGTTAAGAGCTAATCATCATTTCTCTGTATGAGCTGCTTGGTTTCACACACTTATTCGTTTCTTTGTAAAAATCAGTTTTAAATCATAATTTTCTATTTATTTACACTTGTAGCATGTGTTTTTTGCATTTATTTGTCTGTAGGAAACCCAAGACTAATAGGCAAGCCACTTATTTTTACATAGTGGCATCAAGCTGTACTTATCATTATAATCTGCTTTTAAAAAAATGAATAGTTTATCTTGGTATTTCTATGTCATTACAAATATAGATTTAACTTTCCTTTTCAATGCCCCATAATATTTTATTAGTGTAGATATACTGTATTTATTTAGCTCATTCCCTAAGTGGTGAGCCACTTGGGGTATTTTCAGGCTTTCATTTATACACATATCATAGTAAATAAACTACGTGCCTTTCCACATGATGCTAGGGTTTCTCTAAGCTGCAAGCCTCCGGATGAGTCTGCTGCTGCTTCCAAAACCGGTGTGCCGTTTACTTGGTATCGCCCATTTCCCCTCCCTGCCAGCACTGATTCTGAGCAACACTGATTAAAACTTAAACTTTAATGTTTAAGTGTGCATTTTACCATCGAGATCAAGCAGTTTTTACAGGTCTTGAGCTATTTGTGGTTTTTTTCCTGCTATTTTTCCAGAGCTCCATGTTTTGTTTTGTTTTTATTATTATTTGGCACTTTAATCTGCAGTGTATTTTGTGAATAATGTCAAACACCTAACATTTTTTCCAATTGAATACCCAATGTAAAAAAATAAAAAAGATACAAGAATAGATTTGCAGTGGTTGGTATCATCTACTTAAATAATCCAAGCAATTTAACAGTTTAACTGAAAAACTGTTAGAATTATTAAGAGAGTTCTGCAAAGATGATGGGATAGAAGATCAGTTAACTGAATTTAAAAGTTTTTCTTTAAAAACACCAGCAATAACCTTTCAGAAAGTATGGTAGGAAAACAGATCCCATTCATAATAAAAACTATACCCAAAAGTAGACCTAGTAAGAAATGTATAACAACAGAGTGGGGACTTGCCCAACCATTTAGCAATACATGTTTATCACACTATTGTAATTGAAACGAGATATTGATGGGGTATAAACAGACTGATGAAACACGGTGTCCTCTAGAAATCCCTGTTGCAATATAATTTATGATAAGATAACATTTCAAATCAGAAATAGGTTGGACTGTCCAAAAGGTCTTTTCAGTGACGCTAGATTCAAAACTGATTTCAGTGTAGACCCTTGGCTCACCTGAATTTCTATTTGTTACCAAAAAATAAAAAACTAAAAGAGGAATGTTTACACACACACACACACACCCCACCCCCCCGAAAGCACAGACATCTCAGGCTGTGTCTTCTGCCTAGGCCTACTCGCCTCTGCTCCTCGACCACTCGCTTTCCCCCCTAATTCATATTCCCAGAACTTAGCTCAGTTATGGAGTGGATGTTCCCATTTCAGCCTGAGATTTCTGTCACCCCAAAGTTAGATTCCTATAGGTAATTTGGGGGTTAAGTCCAAATATAATCATATTTCAAATATTCTTTGCTTCTACCTAGGAATTTGGACTTACTTTCGCTCTTAACTGTTGATTTACTCTTTCTTTCTTAGTGATGGGGAGTCTTCTCTCCCCACCCCCCACCCCCACCTGCGTTGTAGAAATGGCGGAATTGATTTGCTATATTAAGTCTGTAGAGAAACTGTTGCTACCCAAAGGGCTTTTCAGCTGTGACTTTGCCTGGTTGCTTAGCTCCTGCCAGTTAAGTAAAGCATTCTAGGTGTTTTGCTCTGGAAATTGCCCAGATAGAGAAATGGTGGTACTTGAAATTCTTGTTCGTCTAGCTTTTCTAGCATTTTGTCCATTTTGTTTTGTTTTGTTTTGTTTAGAAGAATGATTACAAAGCAGTATGAACAAAAGAAAATAATAATGACTGATGAATTTGTAATTGCCTACTCTTACCATAAAATGACATACTACTACTGGTTTTTACATTTTAGAGAATCAGCTAAGGATTTGTATCAGCAGCTCTCAGCAGTAGTGGAAAAGAAGTTTTTACTGGAACCAGAACTTTTTACCACGGCAGTATGACATAATGGAAGGGAGTGTGGGTTGTAAAACAGCACCCTTGGGTTAAATCCTCACGCTGTCACTTAAGCCTTGAACTAGTAGCAGCCGCTTAGTGTACTGTCATCTTTAAAGTGGGAATAATAATTCCCTTGTGAAAGTGTCCTTTTAAAATAAGATAATGTATGTAAGGCATTTAGTGCAATGTTCACCCCTTAATAGGCCCTCAAATTGTTGGTAATAATGTTACATTGCCACTGCTGCCCTTCTCTCATGTTAGAAATGGTACTTTAACTATCTCCCTCCATGCTTAGTTAGCCATGTTCTAGCCCAGGGGTCGGCAAACTGCGGCTCATGAGCCACATGTGGCTCTTTGGGTACGTACATGTGGCTCTGAAGTTAAATTGAAAATGAAAATAAAACTATCATAGTTTCATTTATAATATTACTTTAAATTTTCCTTATTTGTAAAAATATATTTATGGCTCTCGAATAATTTTTAAATTATTGTGAGGGACAGTATTGGCTCTTCCAGGGGTTGGCACACTTATGAGACGGAACGTACCCAAAGAGCTGCATGTGGCTTGCGAGCCGCAGTTTGCCGACCCCTGCTCTAGACTAACAGATTTGATTTCTGCTCCCACTCTTGTCACTACTTGGATCAAGTCATTCTGCCTTTGTAGCCATCAATGATGTTACCATTTTTTAAGGTAAGGGATTACTCAGATCATCTCCAAGTTCCTCTCTTGCTCTAAAATGTCATGGTTCGTTTTCTTGACCCTTCCCTTAAGGCTAGAATTAAACTATTGGGCTAGAATTTCTTAGACAATATGATAATTAGGATATGCTGTTCTTCCTGAAACAGAAGAAATCATATGGGTATTAATAAAAATCATCCTTTAAAGAAATGCTGTTAAAATACAGGTTACTGAAAACATGGACCCTTTTCCTTTAGCAATCATGTTATTTTGTAAAATTTAAGATTTCTCAAAAAAATAAATTTTTTTACCACTTTACTAGTAAATTTCAGAACTTTGCTAACCTATCTGCAGAAGGGATGGAACAGTACAGCGCGTTAAAGATGTACGTGTTTAAGCAGAGGGCAGGCCTTGTCTGTTTCATTCTCGTGAAGGCGACTTCATGTCCTTGGATTTATCACCTTGTCATTCATTCAGCAAATACTTGCTTTAGTGTGTACCAGTATCAAGTAGATACAGTGTACAAAGATGACTAAGGCCAAGGATCTCCTTCAAGTTCCGTTCAGGTCCTAAGGAACAGCATCTGTGTTTTTAAACTATTGTCAGAAAGTTTGCTGTAAAGGAAAACAAAAGAACAAATCTGTATGTAGACTGGAAGTGATCGTCAGACGGTGAGAAACTTGATACTATTCCATATTGCAGTGGCTAGGAAACTTACATGGGGGCGGGGAGAAAGAGACCTTAAACTTGTAAACACCAAGGACGTTATTAAATAGTAATGGGTGAAAATATGTTATTTCAACATTAGTCTTAATATAGCACTGTTATACTTTCAGGAAACTACTAAACTTCCTGTGGAAGCAAAGCAGAATTTCGTAAGAACATAATGGGTAAGTTTCTTAAGAAAATAACGAGTAAGTCTTTCAACTAGTAAACGCTGGTTTTTCTTCTCAAAAGACAGAACTTCGATGTCAGTGAATTCAAGTAAGAAAATGGTCAGACCAGACCAAAAGTATTGTTTAAATCAACAGCTTATATTCCTGAACAACAGATCAGCAATGTTATTGTGCCAAATATAATTGGTGAGTCCTAGTGAGGAATTAATTGTACCTTAAGATATTAGAAATTTTCCCAACAGACATATAAAATGGTTTAGCTTGCAAAAAATACTAGAAGTATACATTTAAATAAATGGTAATTATTTTTATTCTTGTTCTGAGAAGTTGGCAAAAGCTGCTCAGCATCTGTATGCTTGGGTAGTCTAATTTAGAAGTTACTTGCATGTTTATGAGTCCCCCAGCTTTATATAATGAAAAATTGCAAGAATAATACACTACATAGCCTTTACCAATTGTTAATGCTTTGCCACATTTTTTCCCCTCTGTGTGTGTGTGTGTGTGTGTGTGTGTGTGTGTGTGTATACACATATGCATGCACATACATAAAAACATGCTTTTTTTCTGTACCATTTAAGATTTATTTGTGCACACCTAAATACTTTGGCATGTATTCAGTCCGTATTCAAAGTTTTCCAGTTGTTTCAATAGTGTTCTTTACAGAAGATTTATTATTTTAAATACAGCATCTAGTCAGGGTTCCTTATTGCAGTACTGTGTCTCTCCCGTCCCCTTTAAACACCTCCCTATTGGGGCAGGGGGTGGGATGGTGAGGAAGGGGGTCTTTCATGACATTTTTAAATTTAGATTTGTCTCTGTTTTCTACTAAATTCAGATTAAACATTTTTGGCAGCAGTAGTACATAAGTGTTTTTGATATTTACTAATCTTAATTTTAGGGATTTCTAAATTAACTATTGAGAAATAAATGAGTAAATGGATTGTGGCTGATTATCACTTCAGCTTCTGTACTTCTCCTTTCTTAGGGCTTCCGGAATTTTTAGAATAAGCCATAAGATACTTTCTTTAAGATATGGGTAACCATAAAAATTCAAATTCCTCAGTACAATACTGTAAAACTTATCTATGCGGAAAAGATCTTAAAGGGATGTACAAGCATTTCTACTCCCCCCAAAAGTTAAATTGAGCCTAGCTGCTGTGGCTGAAGCTAGCATGGAGGCGATGGGGGTAGCTGGTAGCAGAGTAACATCTCTGCACGATCTTTACTTTGAATTTGTAAAGACTGACATTTGTCTGTATTTATTACTTACGTCATGCAGTAATTCAAACTGAGCAATACAATATTTTTATCATTAATTTGATGGATCAAGAGTAAAATACTAAGTAAAGGAAGCCCTAACTTAGAATTTGGGCTTGTCAGAAGAAGTTGCGCTCATGTGGCATATAAATATTCATTCATAAACACACTATGCATCTTATTTTTAAAATGAGTGATTAAGGTGATAGTAATACTTCCTTGAAAAATGCTGGTAAATTTTCATCGAAAGCATGATCCTCGAATGTAGAGTTTATTCTGACATTGGAAAATGTGTAGAGAATAAACAGGTGATATCCCATTGTGGTTTTGATTAGCATTTGCCTAATGATTAATGATGCTGAGTATCTCTTCATGTGCTTTCTGGCCATTTATATATCTTCTTTGGAGGCATGTCTGTTGAAGTCCATTGCCCATTTCTTAACTGGGTTGTTTGTCTTTTTGTTGTTGCATTGTAAGAGTTCTTAATAAATTCTGGACACCAGATTCTGACATTGGAAAATGTATAGAGAATAATAAACTAAAATCTTGGTCGCTGTTGCCCTCCAGAAATGTTTCTGGTCTGAGTCCTCAAATATTTTCCTTGGTAAACCTGTTTATTTTTTAATAAATTTTGTGATTCAAAAATCATTTTACTGCTTACTTTACTGTAGATGGAGAAGAGAAAACTTATGGTGGCTGTGAAGGCCCTGATGCCATGTATGTCAAATTGATATCTTCGGATGGTCATGAATTTATCGTAAAAAGAGAACATGCATTAACATCAGGAACAATAAAAGCCATGTTGAGTGGCCCAGGTAGGAACATTTCTGTATTTCCTCTTAACATATCTTCACTTGTAATATTTGGTGAATGTATTTTTGTTGAATTAAATTACTCATAACATTTAAAGAAAGAGACAGTAACTGAACATTGCATGAGTCTGTTGCATTGGGAAAAAGTTGGTTTCTGCCATCATCTGTGTCCAGCTATTGACCTGAGTTTCAATAAGACGAAACTGATGATTTTGTAAGAGGAAGGATCATTTCCCGAGGTCAGTTTCCATGGTCAGTGTCTTCAACACAGGACTGGTGATGGGTGCTTCTAGTTACAAAGTTTATCTGGCAAACTCACAACTCCCGAATATCTATTCTTAACATTTTCTTTTTCTCTTTGAGGTCTTTTTTTTTATTTTTATTTTTTTATTTTCTTCAGGATTGGAATTTGGGGAGCATATGGTAATCCTATGTTTAACTTCTGGAGGAAATGCCAAGCGGCATAGCGGCTGCGCCAGTTCCCACTCCTCCCAGCAATGTATGCGGGCTCCTCCACATCCTCTCTGACACTTTCTATTCGCATTTTTTTTTCTAGCCATCCTATGGGTGTGAAATGGTATTTCATTGTGGTTTGGATTAGCATTTCCCTAATGACTGATGATGTTGATTATCACTTCGTGTGCTCTTTGGCCATTTATATACTCTTGGGAGAAATATCTGTTGAAGTCCGTTGCCCATTTCTTGATTGGTTTGTTTGTCTTTTTGTTGTTGGATTATAAGAGTTCTTTATAAACTCTGGACACTAGATTCTTACCACATATATGATTTGCAAATATTTTCTCCCACTCTGTAGGCTGTATTTTTCTTAATACTGTTTTTTTTTGGTGAACAAAAGTTTTTATTTTGATGAAGCCCAATTTATCTCTTATCCCTTTTGGTGTTTGTATTTTTTGGAGTCCTGTCTAAAAATCCATTGCCAAGTCCAATGTCATGAAGATTTACCCCTATGTTTTCTTAATAAGAGTTCTATAGTTTTAACTCTTAAATTTAGGTTTTTGATTTTAAGTTAATTTTTGTATATGGTATGAGAGATAATGATTTAACTCTATTCTTTTGCATGTTGGCATACCAGTAGCATTTATTAAAGAAACCATTCTTTACCCCATTGAATGGTCATGGCACCCTTGTTGACAATCAGTTGACCATAGGGCTTATTTCTGGGCTCTCAAATCTCTTCCATTGAGCTACATATCTATCCAGCCTTATGCCAGTATCACACTGTTTAGATCACTGTAGCTTTGTACTAAGTTTTGGAATTGGAAAGCGTGAGGCCGCCAACGTTTTTTCTTTTTCAAGATTGTTTTGGCTATTTGGGGTCTCTTAAATTCCTTTTCTGTATTTTTTACTATGGAAATTTTAAAACATACACAGAGAAAATAGTATACTAGATCTCCATGTACCACCCTGGTTGATCTCCTTTAATTTAAAAAGAAGAGCTTTGTCTTGAAGATCACACTTTCAGTCCAAAATTAATGTTTGCATAAAAAGGAATAACGTACTGATACATGCTGCAGTGTGGATGCACCTTCCAAACATGATGCTCAGTGAAAGAAGTCGGACACAAAAGGTCATGTGTTCTGTGATACCCTTTGAGTGACATATCCAGAATGTTAAATCCATAGAGATAGAAAGTGCATTGGTGTCTGCCAGAGGTGGGGGGGACGGGGGACAGGCTTTTATTTGGGGGTGATAATGTTTTGGAACTATAGATGGGGTTGGGGGGGAGGTTTGCACAAGATGAATGTATACGTACACTTTAAAATGGTTAATTTTGTGTGATCTAAATTTCACCTCAAAAATAAAATCCTAATGTTTGTGTAGCCTCAAGTCTTAATAAGTGCCTGATATTTCGTGCATACATTCCAGAAAGAGAATTTTAGTTTTTGGCAAACGAAAAGTTGCCTAATTGCTGTGAATTATTTGCTGAATCCCGACCTCCTTTCTCTCTGCCCCACCACCCACAACCAATACGAAGTTATTAAAAAAAACTTTTAAAATACTGCATTCTCAGAAAGTATATTTTTCTGCCTTTTGTCTTCAGGTCACAGCGCTACTGCGTGACTGCTAAATATTTTATACTTATAAATGCTAAATGATAAAACATTTATATACATAAAGAAATTTTGAGACATCACTAAAAACTTTATGAAGTGTTATTAAATAAAGGGAAGTGACTTATAAGGAGAGCTCATTAATGGGACCATATTTTTAAAAACTAAAGGAGGAAACAGTAGATTTACCTTCCTGAAAAGATTTTTAAAATAGTATTTCGCTTATTATTTATTTTAAATGGGAATTCATTATAGCACAGGGCTGCTGGTAGACTTGATTCCCCAGGCTGACTCTTCTAAAAGATTGGGCTTTGTTATGTCCTGCTCAACCTTCAGCAATCCCGCCACCAACATTCTTAGAAAAAGCTACTTTAGTGGTCAGACTTCTGGGAGAGAATTAGAATTTTAAAACTCAATCTTGATGAATCTCAAATGCTGTCTTAATAAAGATTTTTTTTATGTTTATACTCAGACATCAGAGTTAGATATTTTGTTTCATGCTAGTTGGTTTATTCATTTCATGTTGTATTTGCTCGGGCTGCCATAAGAAAGTACCATGGACTGAGTGATTTAAATAAATTCATTTTCTCATGGTTCCGGAGGGTAGAAATTCTAGATCAAGGTGTTGGCAAGGTTGCTTTCTTCTGAGACCTCTTTCCTAATTGGCCGTCTTCTTCCTGTGTCTTCACATGGTCTTCTCTCTGTGTGTGTCTGTGACCTAATCTCCTCTTACAAAGTCACCCGTCACCCTGAATTGGGGCCCACCCCGATGACCCCGTTTTGCCTTCATTACCTCCTTATGGAGTCTGTCTCAGCTCACTTTGGCAGCGTGTATACTAAAATTGGAACGAGCAGAATAGCATGGCCCCTGCACAAGGGTGACATACAAATTTGCTCAGCGTTCATATTTTTAAAATGCTTCCTGAACAGAAAAGAAAAACAAAAAGATCCTGTCTCCAAATACAGTCACATTCTGAAGTACTGGGGGGTGAGGATTTCAACATCTGAATTTTGGAGGGACACAATTCAGCCTGCAACCAATGTACTTCTTTTCTTTTACAGGTCAGTTTGCTGAGAATGAAACTAATGAAGTGAATTTTAGAGAGATTCCTTCACATGTGCTATCAAAAGTATGCATGTATTTTACTTACAAGGTTCGCTACACTAACAGCTCCACGGAGATTCCTGAATTCCCCATTGCACCTGAAATTGCACTGGAACTGCTGATGGCTGCGAACTTCCTAGATTGTTAAATAAAATAAATTATAATAAACTGTTAACTTTTTTCAGTATTTAATACCTGTAGTTCAGTTAGTAATTTTTTTCATATATAGCATGTTGCCTGTGTGCACTTGAACTTTAAAGTTCATTGCAATGCAGGTTATCTTCTGTTCTTTTGCATAGCAATCCGAGTTGAAATTTGTTTGCTACATCAACAAATTAAGGACATTTTCACAAAATGAGAAATAAACAAATATGCCAGTTCGTAGATAGTTTTGCCTTATCCTTTGGATGTGATTTTTTTAAATTAGAGTGGTGGTGATACAGTAAATGCTGAAATTTAGGCATAAATGAACACGTTCTACAGGTAAATAATGGGGCTACGTATTTTTATGTTTTTAGTGTTTTTTTAAAAAAACTATTCTGATCTTAGAGTTGTCGTTAGCATTACTAGAAGTATGCAAATAATTGCATTATAAACATGTTTATAACTTAGCCAAATATTGATTTTTATAACTGTCAAAGACATAAGAGTTGAAATTTCTTATGTGTCTTTTGATAAACTGCAGTATTGTTTAAGTGTATCTTGTCTTTTTGTTTATTGCTACAATTTAAGAACTTTATTTAAAAGCAATTTTGGATGATTACTAGGTAAGCTTTTGGAGCACTGACTTTTTGAACTGTAGCCACGTGGTCAACCAGTAAACTACATGACCTTGATTTCATGTGCACTGTACATTTTGGCCAATCCAAAGTACTGTACTTTCATTGACTATAAAGCTTTCCTTTGCAATATTCATTATTTTTACATAGTCTCTTGTTGTGATTACACTTCTGATTATTTAAATATGTTTTAAAAGACTCACTCTGAACTTGATCCAGATCTTAAAAGCTACACTTTTCTGAACTATTCTAGTCTTCCTGCATCCAACTGAAATGTTATAAAATATGATAAACATCGAGAGATGCAGTGCAAATCTTATAACGCACTTTGATATAGTATATGGATTATCTTCTATTAATTAAAATGTGTCCCCCAAATAGGATACCCATAATCTGTGGGTCTTCTACTGAAGTCTACCTTATAAAGAGGTCATCGGCTTTTATACTAAGCAGATTAAAAAATTTTGAAAAACTGACTGAGCATCTCTGCTTAGGCATGGGAAAAAGCACTGTGGTTTGGTTTAATGTCTCTATCTTAGTAGTAAAACAAAGTTGTTATTATAGGATCTATAAATTTAAGTTTATAAATTCAGCTCAGCTCTTCAGACTGGTTAATATGGACCAGTTTTTCTGGAAACTGCAAAAACCATAAACAGCCAAGATCTAGAAATAATAGTCCTCGTAGAAGACCTAAATTTGTACTTTCCAGCTTATTGAAAGCAGTTAAATATGTTAATTGCATATATTTTAGTAACTTCTAAGACATACTGGTACATATTTTAGTATAGAAGATTGTCAAGTACAAGAATTTTATTCTGCTACTTGGTGACAAATAATGCCAATTACAAGCATCAATACTGATCTTAAAGGTTAAGGTGGTAACTAGAATAAAGTTTAACTTGGATGGACCGATTTTAGTGGTTACTTTATGTGTTAGATCCACAAGTAACCTTAAGTTAAAATATTGAAAAAAGATTAGGTAAACTTGTATATCTTGTGGCAAATGATACTTGCATGTTAATAAAGGCTCTGTTGACTGAAAGGTATGATGAACAGTTGGTGTTTGATCTTTTTAGCCTTAATTTTCTTTTTCTGAGGATTTATAAAACTATTTGCTACAGGCCATCTTGCTATATGAATGAATAACAGGGATTTTTATATGGTTAAATTTAAGAGAGAATTTTATATAGCATTGAAACCTTAACTTCAGTACTTGGTAATTTCACTTTTTAAATTATGGCAAATCTCCATTTTTTTTTCTGCATAGAAAATATTACCACAAAATCCGTTGTTTTGTTCAGTTAATATTTCGTTTTTGTACTGTCTAGATTATGTTTTCTAGATGTTTTTCTTTCATGTAATTATTATTGATACGGTCTCCTTTTGAAGACTCTTGTTGATACTGAGAAATACAATTTACTATAAGCAGTAAATTCAGGCCATGTTAAAAGAAATACATTTGGAAACATCTTGCTATTCATGGACCTGTCATCTTAGTCATTTTGCTAAGTTTATCAATTAATATTTTTCAAAAGAGTGCAAATATTCTGAGAAATAATATGAAATTGCTGTTCAAGATTGAAGACTGTTTAAATTAACTCTAGTAATTCCTATCTATATAGAGAAATTCCATACAAATTAACAAAACTTGGGTGTATCCGGACTTAGCAGTGCTAAGTTGAGCTTCTGATTGGTTATATCTAAGTTTGATAAAACACAATCTAGAAATCAATAGATGCCATTGACTTTATATATATATGGTATTTTATTTGCAGTATATAAATCTGATTTAATTTCAAGCCAGTTGTATTCATGCCAAGATTTTATGTTCCTATTGGGCTACACTCTTAAACATTGTACATAGTGGTTTGTTGATTTTAAAAAATGTATTAGCCAGAAGTATTTTCAGTAGATTAGAGCACCAACAGGGAGTCAGGAAGTCTGCAATCTTTGCTAATTAGCCATGTGATCTTGCCTCAGTTTCACATCTAGAAAATTCTGAAATTGCACATATATAAGGTGATGTTTACCACGTTTTTTAATGAGCAAATAAGACTGTGTTTATGGATGTTGCTTAAATCCAAGTATGTAACATTACAGATGATTACATTAGAAGAATTATAAATAAGAAAATAGCTTTCTTGCTGCATCTTAAATAATCTGTAGATTTCACTTTTTTGCTGCTTTTGATTAGGCATTACATATTACACATCAGCACTAAATATATAAGCTAGATTAATTTAGGATTCTTGTAATTTTCTATTGCCCGCCATATAAAAAGATTCCATCTTAGCTCTGGTTATCAGTCATTGTTGATAGAGGAAATTGATGTGCTGCTTTCATATCAGTATATGCAAATGCAGGTTGACCTGAAACTTTCTATTCATGCTCTAATTTAGTAACTTATCCCGAATTAGGTACATGTGTAATTTCTTTACCTATTGGGTTGTCGGAAAAGTCATGACGTATTTTTGCAACGAAAAACAGAAAAAATACGTCGTGACTTTTCTGACAACCCAATAGCTGATTTCAGTTAAGAACTATGGCTCTTAACAGAAATTGATATTGAGGGTAGGTTGTAGACAACAAACCCTCAGGAAATTGGGGGAATATGATTCTTATCACCTTAACCTCGCTAGGACCGAAAGCAGCGGTAGTTCCATAGTATTCATACTCGTAAGCAGGCATCTGAAAGCCAAGAGCGCTTAGAATGGTTAAAGAGCTATTCGAGTGATCACTTGCCCAGTGAGGGCAGGACTTTGGATGCTTGCAATGTGTCTGTCAAAGAACACGATGAAGGACATGAAGAATTAACTGAATTTATAGCCAGATGAGTAGAATGGTTGCTTTTAATGGTACTGGACAGCTTAAAGAAAGAGGTCAACTTGAAATGCTTTCAAGGCACAGTTAGAATCTTAGGAATTTTCTAGTATTCTTCAACCACAGACAGCCTTTTTTTTTTTTTTTTTTAGCTGAGCCATCCTGCCACCTGTTGGCAGCTCAGCGGCAGCAGCAGCTCAGCTCTGGCCAGGACTCGACCTGCTGTTCAGAGCTCGCACTCTTGAGTGAGCTCTTAACCAACAGCCACTTGGCTGGCTTTTTTTTTTTTTTAAGTTTATTGGGGTGACAATAGTAAAGTTACATAGATTTCAGGTGTACAATTCTGTAACACATCATCTATCACATTGTGTGCTCACCACCCAGAGTCAGTTCTTCCATCACCATATATTTGATCCCCTTTACCTTCATCATAGACAGCTTTCTGACAATTATAAATCCAAAGTTGAAGATTGATCCAGTTAAGTTGCTGAATTAAAATGTCACTTGAATTGGCAGCTGGTGTTTACACATCTACCATGTAAAATTTAGAATATTGAGAAAAGAGTGGGAACCCAAAAAATAAACGGATCATTTTCAATCCCTCATGACCTTTCTCAAAAGCTAAATCAATCTTCCATCATCTTCTAGCTGTAACGAAGCAGGGACTCGTCATACCTGGAGACCCCTTCCCAGGAAAGCAAAGGACATCCTTACCATGTTCCTGATCTTAGTGGGAAAACTTCAAGTTTCTCGCCATTAAGTATGATGTTAGCTGTAGGGGAATTTTTTGTTTTTTCTTTTATTTTCTTTATATTTCTTTTCTGCTGTCGGATTTTTTAAGGATAATTTTTATCAAGTTGAGGAAGTGCCCCTGTATTCCTAGTTTACTGAGACCTTTATCATGAATGAGTGTTGGGTTTTGTTAATAATATGATGATGTTTTGTTTTGTTTTAGTCTATTGATAGGATGGAGTACATTAATTGATTTTGAATGATGAACAGCCTTGTGAGCCTGAGAAAATTACCATTTGATCATGGTATATAACTTTTTATACATTGTTAGACTAGATTGCTAATATTTTATTGAGGATTTTTGTATCTAAATGAGATACATTGGTCTGTAGTTTTCTTGTAATGTCTTTGGTTTTGGTATTAGGGTATTGCTGGCTTCATAGAATGAGTTAGGAAGATTTCCTCTGCTTCTACCTTGTGCAAAAGATTATAGAGGATTACATAATTTCTTCCTTAAATGCTTGGTGTAATTCACCAGTGAACCTGTCTGGGCCTGGTACTTTATGTTTTGGAAGGCTATTAATTATTGATTCAATTTCTTTAATAGATGTAGACCTATTTACATGTTTATTACTTCTTGTGTGAGTTTTGGCAGATTGTGTTTTTTAAGAAATTGGTCCATTTCATCTTGGTTATCAAACTTGTGAGCATAGAGTTGTTCATAATATTCCTTTATTATGCTTTTAATGTCCATGGGATTTGTAGTGATGTCCCCTCTTTCATTTCTGATAGTAGTAATTTGTGTCCTCACTTTTTTTCCCTCGTAGGTAGCCATTTATTGAAGAAATTGCATCATTTGTCTTGTAGAATTTCCTTTTTGACCAGCTGTTTGCAGCCTCATGTGGTGGTTTAACAAGCACCTCTGTTTTGCACCTCTCTTATCCTTATTTCCTATAAACTGATCACAAGATACTGTTTTGGGGGGTTTTAAAAAGATTTTTATTGGGGAATTGGGAGAAGGGGAACAGACAAGTTGCTGTCCTTTTGTTCTTCAGTCTAGTTGTGGAGGATGTTGATTCACTGGCCCAAGTTGACACCATCATTGCGCTCTTCCCGGGCGAGGCAGATCAGTCGCAGGCTTCTGGACGGCCGTTCACAGCGGCTGCTGGCTGCTCTTGCTGGCTGCTGGCTACACACGGTAGCCCATGGCAACCCTCTGCAGCAGGGGCTGCAGCCTACGCCTTCGCCGGTGACTCACAGCAGCCCAGCTCCAGGTTGAACTGTTGTTCAGCATCTTAGCTGTAGAGGGCAGTGTCACTGGCCCTCATATGTGGGATCCGAACCGGGGTCCTCTGGCATCCC